AATAAAATATAGATATAGAAGAAAAATTGAAATTATTTCCTAGTAATGTCAAAATTATATTATTTATAAAAATCAAATAACTTATAGATAATATTATTTGCTCCATATATTCAAATTCTTTAATATTCAGAGAATTTCGATATAATAATCGATAAAGAATATAGTATAAAATAAATATATTATACTAATATAAATCTAAATCGAAAGATCATAAATAAAATCATATCTCAATAGATTATATATAAATTTAAGATAGAAAATAAAATCATCAATCCAAATTATGAAATATATACGATTTAATTTATATTATTTTATAAATTATCTTCAAAAACGATGCTCTAAAATAAAATTATCCATTTTATAAAATACGTATCGAGAAATAGATATAACCAATACGGAGCAATCCGGACCTTCTTATTTTGTAATAAGGATATTCTCATAGCATAATAATTAGGAGATGAGTTTTTCGAATTAATAAAACTCTCAAATTTATCGATATATATATATATATGATTATTTGTTTCTATATTATATCACATTATATAGTAGAAATTCAAGAAATAATACTTTAAAATAATAATATATAATATTTGAATATATCAATTAAATTATACGATTATCACGACCTAAATCTTGTCAGAATACCTGGCACTTGCTGCGACCGTGCACGTGAAAGTCTCACAGGTAACAGTAAGCAGTATGTTATGTCCCCAGCTTGCATGTTCGTCAAAGGCCATCCTTATCCAAAGGATTGCGTTACCCTTCGGTGTCTTCTTTTCGCATCACGACTTGCCGGTCTATTTTAGCAGCTTCTGCCACCTTGGCCATGCGAGCGAGAGTCTCGCCAGGCTCGCACGACAACCAAGTTGAGCTGCCAGAGCGAGGCGAAGCACAACCACTGTCTGCTCTCCTCAGAACCGGGCAAGAAGCCACCCATCGTCTTCTCGAGTTCCAGCACCAGCTTGCGACCGCCTTCTTTGCCCTGGCACGTTGGTGACCAACCTTTGAAGATCCTTTTTGCGGGCTCTCTTGGCGCACTTTTCTCCCCGCATGAATTCGGCAGTCATCCTCTGCGGTCGAAGCGGTCGAAAAACTGTCGGTAGCCGCCACCGGCTTTCAGCTGCTTGAAGCCTGCAATCCTTCGGGATGTTCGAAAGTCTGACGGTCGAGACTTCTGGGTGCAGCGTCGACCGACTATTGCTTGGCCGGTGCAGCCGAGGTTCGTGTGCAAAGCGTTTTTCAGCTGAGTGATGGCTTCACCTCGAAAGATCCAGAAAGTGCTTGGGAAGTGCTGACATGCTCCTTCTTTCAGCGCGCATAGAATCCCTTATTCAGGTGAGCCGCGTGTTAAGCGGTTCCCGCCTAGGTTCTTACAGGGTCGTAGCGATTCGAACACTGTAGCGCACCAGGTGAGCATGCCACAGAACTTTCGTCTCAGCCAAAACTCTGATGTCCATCTGCTGCAGCTTCGGTAAAGGCTTTTCCTGAAGCCACTCTGCCAACCTCAGCTTGGCACAATATCTCTTCTTGCAAAACAGAAAGTGCCCAGTCATCACTTGAGTCCAGTCAATGAGGCAGCCGGGCTTTGCTCTTATGGGCATTTGTGGACTTGCCGCAGGCTTAGACCGCCCTCCTGACAGTAGGACCCCTCAATGCTCCCAGCGACATGGCTGTGCCTCTGTCGTCCAATCTTGCTTGCACGAGACCTCGCTGTTGCACGTTGCAATGAACCAGCCATGTCGCTTCTGTTGGAGCATTTCGCAGAGCTCTCGTCTCGGGTGTGCATGTGTAGCCATCGAGCACAGCCAGCCAAGTTGCTCAAGCATTCCAAGCAAGGGAGGTTGAGGACAGGTAGCATGACCGCAAGGTTCGAACCTAAGCCAAGTGTTTCTCCCAAAACCCGAAGGTGCTTGCGTCCGGGAGCATCGTGGCACTTGCAGTTTGCTGGCAAACTCAAGGTCCACTGCACCGGTGTTCAGTGTACTGAGCTTTTCGCCAACTAGCGAGGAAGCACCCAAATGTAGAACACGCAGTGTTGACGGCAAAGCTGCACAAACAGAGCCTAAGCGGCAGTCATGGGATGTGGCGATCGCTCATTCATAATAGTCCTTCGCACACCCTGTGGGATGCGCTCAGGATACGGAGAAACGATGGCACTCCGGGACAAAACAGACCAACTACAAGTAGTTGCTGTTTTTTTGGCTTCAGGAATCTTCAGGATAGTATCAGGGAATCCGGTTCCGTAACTCAGCCTTGGAGCAGAGCATTGCTTGGTCGCTGCCAAGCAAGTTTGCATTCAAGTTGAGCTCTGAGAGGCCTGGTGCAGATGTCGCAAGCTGTCCTGAGCAAGAAACCCTGTGGCACTCTGAAAAGCGGCAAGGATAGAGCATGATCTGTCTGCGAAGCTTCAGACTGATGGTCTGCCGAGTTGCTGAAGGAGCTCGGCCTCGTTGCGGTCACGACAGGGACTTCTTTTGCGGTGTGCAGCAAAAATTCCTTTTTTGCATGCAAGGTTCGAGAAGTCCGCCTGCATGTCGGCTAGAATCACACGCGAATCTCGCACAAGCTATGAGGATGCTTAAGGTTCCGTGCGTAACACTTGCAGACCTGTGTTCAACCAGATGCATTGTTATCAAATGCTGTCAAATCCCATGGTTGTCGCTGGCAGGTGGCAGTTGCGAACTGGTTCTCCGCCAGGCTCAGCACGTTCAGCTTCGGTAGGGGCCTGGAAAACTATCCTCTTGCGACTTCCCGCGCTCGGTCCAAGAACCTCGTCCAAACCAGCTTAGGCTGCAGCGGGAGTTGATCCAGAAAGTCTTTGACTCCGGCAGGGCCGAGTTTGTTCTGCCTTGGCTCACTTTGCCGCATAATTCGTGGACCAAGACCATCGCTTTTGCCTTCCACTGCCGGATTCCGTGCACACGTTTTTGGCGCACAGTGAAGGGCGTCAAGACCAGCACATCCAACACTAGCCCCTGTTTACAAAACAGGGACCAAAAGAGCTGGCATCCGCCATCAGGGCAGGGCAGGGCAGGCTCCCGGCTCTCAGCGCCGATGTAAGTTGAAAGCTGCTCAAGGGCCAAACGCCCTTACATTTGGCATGTCAACATCGGCTGTTTTGGAGGCCACGGCCTTCTGTACATTGCCTGTGAGGACTGTACGAAGAGTCGACGGCTTCTCGTCTTGCTCCCCATGAGCTGCAGGCTTGTTGCTGCCTGTATCGAGGGAAGCAAACAATTAAATTATAAAGTAATCATGAGAATCATAACAACACAACAACAATCATAACACTTCATTGTCGATGACAAAAATGAGTAGTAAATGGATGAACTAATACATAAGAATATTGATGGTTTACCATGGCATTTAATAACAATGACATTGTTGTTGTTATTCTCAGTATTAGTACTATTATCATTTTTGCTAGCTTTGTTTGTGTGAGGTGGGGGCCTGGTTGCGAGGGGGGGCGGTATCACCAAGCAACAGCGCATCAGAACAGCTGCACTGTTTCGCCAAGAAACGAAGACCTTCTCTTGACAAGCGCTTGCATCTGACCCACGTTTCGAGTCAAACGATGAAGTCCAGACCAAAGAGTTTGCGGACTTGCTCCACCAATGCAGGCATCAAAAGGAACAGCGGTCCCACCTTGCACACGGGCCGCAAGTGTGAATGCTTCTGAAGTCGGCAACAAGCAACATCTCCACCCGACACTTGAACATCTGACTTCCTCGGGCTGGCTTTCCTCGTGAAAGCCCTGCCCGACCCTGTTAAGGATATGGTTGCTTCAGATGTTGCTGTGAGCTGGCAGGAGCCCCTGAACTTTCTTACTTGCAGCCGAGCATCTCTCATATAGGCTGGGAGCCATCCTCGAAAAAAGCCGGCAAGGCCACGATCACGTGCGATGGCAGAAACTGCCGAGATGATATGGGTCCGGCTGGCACCGCCTTCACAAGGAACTTCACGATATGATTGAGACAACTTTACGAGAGGACATCTGGCGGACTTGACAGCTGAGAACAGCGTGCGGTTCCAGCCTTCCTGCATGATCCGCGTCCGCACAACATCTGCCTCAGTTCCTAAACAAGTTCGCGATTCAAGACACTGGCACATGTCAGCCGCTTCGACTCCAAAACTTTGGTTGAAGCGATGCAGGCATGTTTCGCTGTTGAATTAAAAGCAGACTTCACGCTCATGAACAGTCTCTTAATGCAAGCCCAAGCGACAGGAGCCGTAACCGTGGTTCCAGCAAGTCCTGCCACTACTCCCGCGCCGAGATGAAGCGCAGGAGAGTCTGCCACTCCCTGCGACTTGGCCAGGTGCTTGCTGTGCCTGAGCAAATTTGGCTCACTGTGAGTGTTGGAATTGGTGCCTCCTTTCTTTCGCAGCAGAACTGCTCAAGTCGAGCGAAAAGTAGTCTTGTCGCCGATAAGTCCCCTTATTGAAGAGGGCCAAGTGACGAGCATGCTACCGAGATGAAAAACATCACCACGTCTCACGCTTTTTGAACCAGCCGCCTTTCTTTACTCTGTTTCAGGCTAGGTGAACTTCAAGGCACAGAGCTGCCTGAATCTTTCCGAGACCCTGTGAGGTTCGGGGTACTGCGCTGACTCCATATCACGCAAAGTCTAAAGTTTTTCGATCTTAGGGCTTTCTCTACTTTTTGTGCCTCCTCATTCTTAGGGTTTAGCACGTCCTCCTCCTTCAAGTCTTAGTAAATCTTAGGGATGCTTCTGCCACCATCTGCAGGGCGGTCTGCTTCATTCGGGTTGCCCGTTCAAATCCCCGCCATGCTGTCGAACTTCAGAGATGCCTGGTCACAAAGTTCCTTCCTAATGTAGGAACCTGATTAAGAAACCCTGGGACTTTATTAGGGTTCTTAATATGAGCCCTAGTATATTGGGGCTATAGGGCCATGGTTTCTTAATCAGGTTCGTACATTAGGGTCAACCGCAAGGTTCTTCTGGTCAGTGAAAATGCCTGAGTCCACACCGAGATGCTCGTAGACCGGCACGGTGCCAACAGTCATGCACACGCTGCGAACCTTGGGGAAGCACCCTTTGCACTAGGCTTGAGAGACTGCCAACGCTCGGCAAGCTCTAGGATTTAGGGAATACTTTATTCTGTGATTTGGCTGTGACTCGGGTCTGTGGTTTTGGTGTGATTCCCTTACCATCTGTGATTCTCTCTGTGATTTGGCTGTGATTCGGTTGTGATTTGTCTGTGCTTTTGAATGCTGTGATTTGGCCGTGATTCGGTTGTGATTTGTCTGTGCTTTTGCTGTGGTTTGGCCGTGATTCGGGAACCCGCCTCCGCAGCCAAATCACAGCCCGGAGCTAGGATCCGGCCTGGACCCCTGGAACCTATGAATTGGCTGTGAGTTGGCTGTGACTTTGCTGTGATTCGGGAACCCGCCTCCGCAGTCAAATCACTGCCAAATCACAGGCACAATTGCAAATCACAGATGATCACAGCAAAAGCACAACAAAACCACAGCAGGTACATTAGAATCACAGAGAAGTCACAGCAAAACCACCGACATGAACCACAGCAAAATCACCGCATAATCACAGAAATATTTATCTCCATGATTCCTAGAGGTTGCCGGAGCAGGCAATCTCAACAATAGGCAAAGAGACGTCTCAACATTGTCATGCATGGCCATTCCACCTCAGCCGCGGGCGACATTGATGCCCGAGCCTCTGAAGATGTTGAGGACACCGTTGCTCAACACAGCTTTGAAACCCGAGACCTCGTCAAGTGGCGCAAATAGAAACATTCGTAGGCGGGGTATCTAAGGTTGAAACCATGGGCCCTGAACCCTGGAATCCTTATATACCTCCTGTTTCCGCTGTATGTACGGCTAAGGGCCACCAGAATCAACCTAAACGGCCGAAGGGTCCATATTAGAGGATAGATGTCGCCGGATTTCATGCCAGAGAATGCTTCGCAGAACATGCCGGGTTGAGCAGAGTGTCACGAAAGCTGAAGCAGAATGTCGTGCGGCAAAAGCGATTAGTATTCGACAGGGAACCGTACCGCGAATTCGTTGAGGCTGTCCGGCACAGAGTCCCGTCGTAAGGATTCCGCTATCGCATCTGCCGGCTTCGGCTTGGACCCTCGCGGAAAGGCTCTCACAACGTGCTAGCCGTACACCTATGCTGAACAACGTAGATCTGCGTCACTGCCAAGCGGCCTTATCCGCACCAAATCGAAGGGCGAAGCGAGCAGGCCAGATAAAGCCCCAAGTACCACACCGGCACTGAACTTGCTGCCCAGGCCCGCCTCGGGCACCATCCGAAGATCTGGCAGCAAAAGGAGGAACCGTCTAAGGGCTGCCAAGAGGCCTCCCCACCACTCTTCCCCTGTCCATGAGCACTTTGAACACTTGCGTTTTTGACGTCTTTTGTATTCCCCTGGCTGTCTCATTTACTGGGTCCGCGTGTTTCGGGACTTCAGCTACTTGAGTTGGGCCGGTTACGAAGCATGACCCCGCTGTGAAATCGCTAGATGAATTCACTCCCACTCGTTGCAAAATCTGTTATCCTGTGCTGGCCTTCGCAACCATGGAGAGGCCGTCTCTAACTGCTGGATATGCCCCGATGCGTGTACCAACCACGGTGCACTCACGTCCTGGTATTCCCAAGACTGACTCAATTATAAACGAAATAAGTGCATGAAATGAATATGAAGCAAAGCGAAAGTCGTGGCTGCCAGAAAACTCTTGTCGATGTCCTAAGGACGCCAGCATGCCGGTGGACCACAGCGCTAGCAATCCTTCAATGCACAGCTCAGTGACAGTGGCCATTCGGCAAGTACGACGCAGCCAGATCTCCTTCCTCTGCGAGAACCCGCTGCGCGACAGTGAGAAAGCCGCCCGTGTAAGCTGGCACTGTGCAAGCTGGAGACGGGATGCCTGTCGGGCCGCACATGCTACAGTAAGTTGCTGCCGCCACTGCGGGGAAGTTGCATCGAAAGGCCTTGCATTCGGGTCTTGATGACATCTGTCCAGTTCAGGGCCAACGGCACAGCTGTGGCTGCAACCATCGCTGCGCCGATTTCCTTTGCAGGGCTCGCCATGGCACTCGAGAGCAGTGAACCACTTGTAGTAGTGGTGTAGCAAACGTTCGCAAGAGCAGACCAATACGTTGAGTTTCTGTCTTTTAGAGCTGGCTGGTTGAAGGTCGGCATGCAACGGGGTTGGACGTCGTTAGTCTGGGTTGCGAGTCGTCGTCTTGCTCAAGTCGTGCCACTAGCTCCAAACGCCAAGTGCTGCAAGCCACATGATGGTTTTCACACACGCCCACTGGACTCTCTGCAGGGGTAAAGGAAGCTTGAGCAACAAGCTGCACCATGCTCCTGCTAGAAAGATGCGTGAAAGGAGCCAAAACTCAAAAGAGACTAAAGGCCCGATACCACAAATCTAACTTCGGCTAAGTAGCCCCACGTCCAAACTTGAAATACTGTCGCTCATCGACCGCAAAAGGCGTGGCAGCACTTCAGTGTCGCTGGCTCCCAACCAATTGCCCCGTATGTTCAGCGACTCCAGCCGTAGATTCGATTGCTGCAGGGCTGAAAGCCCCACTGTACCGAGTCCATTCAGAGACAAGTCCAAATGCTTGAGCGATGGCGGAAGTGCAGTCGCAAGCGCTGCTAAGCCCACAGGCCCAAGTCCGTTCCCAGAGAGTGCCAGGCTGCGGAGTCCTGAAACCGGCAGCAGCTGAGCCAGTGCACCTGCCCCTTCCTCAGACATTGCATTCTGCGAAAGGTCGAGATCCGAAAGGGAGTTAAGCATTGGTGCCATTTGCAGCGCACGGCACAAGTCAATAATTTCCGAACTTTTTAAGGTGCAGTTTCGAAGTCTTAACGACGTGAGCGGCAAAGGTGGCAGAAATTCGAGCAGGAATGCGATGATGCCCTCGTCGGCGTCCATCATGTTTTCCACATGAAAGTCCCGGAGGCACATGCAGTCGTCAGCTGACTTCGGTAGCTCAGCCAGGAAGGGAACCGCACTCTTCCCAGGTGCCACGCCTGACCCTCGAACAGTGAGCTGCTTCAAAGGAGCAATCGGAGCCGTCAGCAAGCTTCGCCATATCCCAGCAGCAAGCAGCCAAAATGCTCTGGCTTCCTGCTCGGTTGAACCTTGACTGCTGGACTGAAACACAACTTCACGCAGCCGAACGCAGTGAGTGGCAGCAGTTCGCGCCAGGCCCGGCGAAAGGTCTGGGCTGACGACCAAGCGCCAAAGATGAGCTGCTACTAGTCGCAGCCAGTCTTGTGCGAGAATTGTTAAAGCAAGTGCCTTCCTTTGGGGCAGCGATGACAGAATCCGACTCAAGACTGCAGCATCCAGCTGCACTAGCAGATCCATGGCTCTACAGCTACTGCCCCTTTCTTCACTACTGCACTTCGAGAAGAAGCAGCGCTGATATGCGCTTGGAAAAGTCATGAGCATTCACAATGCGAGATGCTCCTGCTCTTTGCTCTGCTCACCGTCTTTGTGCCAGCTAGCGAGTGCACAAAGATCCGGAGCCTCCAGCGTCCAGCTGCTGCCCTGACGAAGCATCGGCTGAAAGCAACTACAAGCCTTCCGTACGACAGTACGAAAGCCACAGTGGGGCCTCAACATCAATCTCTCCACAGAGGGTGCCGTCGATGACCGGCCGCATCTTCAAGAAACTTGTGACAAGTGACAAAGCAGATTCATAGCCACGTTACAAGGTTTGAAGCGGCCGTTGATGCCGTGCCATTGTGCTGTTTTCAGCGTATAAGCCCTGGGCCCTGGATCCTAATGGATCTTGGCGGTGTGCCTCGGCATGACCTTCCTAAAATCCCTCTCGAAGTTTGGCATCTGCTGCCGAGCCGTCGCTTCAACCTGAACTGTCCACGATTGGCCAAAATCCATGATGACCACCTGTCATGCCTAGGAAAGTTGCCTGCCGGCTGACGAGTATCACGCTTCAATGCACGCCGCCAGGAAAAATCAGGTGGTTCATGACTACGAGCCGACTTGCTTACAGTGCCTCGTGGCCCTTGACATCGATTAGCAGCCGTGTTGGCTGCATCTTCACCTCAGATGTGCAAACGAAGAAATGTGCGTGTGTGTGTGTGTGTGAAACAGCTACTAATGAAACAGCTAACACTAGTGAGCTGCTGGCAGTGATGTCTGCCTTCTGAGTGCTGGCTGGTACCTGTTGCAAGCTCTGCGCAATTGCCGTGGCCTCGATTTATTTCACCTCATGTTAGCTCATGTCAGCTACATCAGCCGGAGCCCTCAAACGCAGTGCATGCGCTTTGGCCGCAGCGAGCCTCAATCTCGACTGTAATTTCGCTCTTGTTGTTGACCTTCTTTCACGTCAGCACACAAAGGACGTGTGCCTCTTGTTGCCAGCCTCGTGGAAAGTCCACGGACCCTGCTTTTTCTGTTGCCTTTAACGAGACTGCAGGAAGGCGCTGAGATTGAGAATATCATACTCAGACGACTGGGGCCGTAGGCTGATGTATCACCTCCGATCCTGCTTGCTGGAGTCCCTGCAAGACTTTGCAAAAGGCTGAGCAATTGGGGCTAGCGGCTAGTTGCTCACGCCTTCGCTCGATGCTCTTGCTTGCCAGTCTCCTGACCTGGAACAGTCTTTAAGGCGATGATACCGGCCTACACCGGGAGCCTTCATTCCTGCCTTCCCCTTGCCTGCGAGTCATCCAGCCAAGGCACTTCTCTCCAGCTGCTCTCGTCCTACACACCACTCTCCGCCCCCAGGCGGTTTTTCTTGCGGGTGTCCCTTCGAAACCGGCGGTGCCGAAATTGGTCTTCTTGATTTTCCTCCTTCGATGCCTGATTTCTCCAGCAGGCCCGTTCTTGGAACTTGCAGAACCTGGAGGCCCGCTGAAGTGAGGGGGGTTCTGCGCCCCAAGGCCAGCATCCTGGGCATGATCGTCGCACCTCTTCGGCGTGGTAACTCTGCGAAATTGCAGATATGGTTCCAGTGGACATGCCGCTGAAATGAGGAGTTACTCAAGCAGGCAGACGGAGCAGAAACGCTATTTTTGCCTCTGGTCACACCCCCTAAGATTACGAGAAGAGGCCACCGAGCTGCACACCTTCGGAGCGAGTTGTCCTGCAAGGCACGAGCTAAGCAGATGTGCGAGTGCGCTGCTCACAGCGTGACAGCCCGGACATGCAGCATCGTGCAGCCCAAACGATGTCCTCACTCCTGCAAGGCACGTCCCGAGAGTTACCGCCTCCTGCTTTATAATGCCGCAGACGACTGAACACGCTCAAGCCGACACTGCACTCTGCTCCCCCACCTCGCGCTCGAACAATGAGCGAATCTGCTCAATGACATTCCTGCATTGAGCACAGCTTCAGCTTGGATTTACACTGCTTTGCCATGTAGCAAATGCCCACTGTGGCATGCTTGTGTGCATCTACAAACAAATTGCTCTACGGTAGCAAGTGGTAGCACCGAAGCTGGTCCACAAGATGAAGCCGCACCTTTCATTCGCAAAGTACATGCTCTGCAGGTCTTTGATTTGGTCAGAGACCTCCTTGAGGCAGGCATCCTCAGCTCAGAGCAGAGCGCAGCACTTCTCGTTCTCTCGTTCTGCATGCCTGAGGCGGAAGCTGCTTTCTTCCGCCCTTCCTGCGACGGCCAGCTGCTGTGGAAAAACCCCGGCATGTTCAGCTTGCTTCTCTCCCGTTGCCTCTGAATTCTGCTCGAGAGCTTTTCTGGTCTCGAAGACTCCTTGTCCTAAATCCTTAGGACACTCAGGCGTCGTGTCTTCTAAACGCGGTGCAAACCGCAAGAATCGTTCCACCACGGCTGAGAGACAGCACCACCCAGAATTTCTCACCTGAGTATGCACGAACTACTCGAGAAGTCTTGTCTATAGTCTATCCCTGTCTTTGCAATCGGGTACGGATCAGTCTTAAGGCAGGAGAAGACTGCGTCTGAGAGACTGGCTCATCATGTTGTCTTCGATTTCTTGCAACGCCTCTCCTTGCATGATCTTCATTCACTGTCAGTGCTTGGTTCGCACCCCTTTCCTGCGGCCTGAGACGCTGGCCAACTGTCATATCTGAAGTCCGTGGTCCTGGGTCGACTTTGGGCCCTTCCCGCGCCTGGCAAGTGCGCGCGACTTGAAAAGGCTCAGAGCGACTCAGAAGGCCTTGGCTTCAATGTCATGCTCGATCCGCAGAGCGGCCGTTGCTTTGCAGGCCTCGACTAGGCAAGGCCGAGGCAGCTTCAGAAAGCGGCATTCCTGTCGCCTGCTCGTAGGAGAAGGCATCCATGGCTTCAAAGGTACTACTAGTATTTCAGCATGCGCACAGCCGCAAAGCACAATGTGGATACTGATGTGGATACTGTGTTGGAGTGGATTCTGCTCACGGCAGTCCGGTTAAATACAAAGAGCTACAGCAATGGAGTGTGACAAAAAAGATGCAGTGGCTGAACGACTACGTGCGACAGATTTCCATAGCCAGTGGGAGCATACGTTTTATCTTCGCTGTGAACATAGATGCCAAGCCAATGCAGCACGCAAAGACTCACAAAGGACTTCTGACAATGCCCTTCCAAGCCACAAATCGCTAGAGTAATTGCTGAGTTGGGCTTTCGCGAGAGAGCAGCCAAAAGAGCCGGCAACTGCAAAAGTTCAAGCTGCCGTTTAACGAATTGAGTGGGGAAGCCGAGTGCCTAAGGCACAGAGAGCGAAAGACAGAGATCGCGTTAGCAGCATGAAGGGCTCAGGAAGCTCCAGGCCTATGCTTCAACTATTACGACCAGTTTCTGTGGGGAGTGCGCCTGAGAGACAAAGCCTCGAGGACTTTAGAGTGGGTGCAAGGATTTTGCCGCTCCGGGCCGTGTATGAACCAGTATGAACCAGTTAGACTTCCGCAAGCTTCCGCCCTTGATGATCCGGGCCAGGGTGCTGGAGCTGGGACGTGAGGTGGGAGCTGGCTGATTTTCGAAGAAAGTGAAGCTGCGAATCTTCGGGATCCCCATTTTCAAGGGGCAGGAGCAAACGTGCTCTGCTGGTGTTGCTGACCTTTGGGCTGGGCGTCTGGGCATCGGCGTAATCTTCACCAAATGGAACTCACGCTTAGAGGCGTAGAGGCTTGAAACATCTCACTAGAGACAGTCGTGCGCTTCGAGTTCTGGGGCCTCGTGGGCCCCACTTGGTCCAGGGAACCCAAGGCAGAGATCTCAAACTAAACCGTGAAGAGCAAAGTTCGTTTGATCAAGCCGCCCTTGGTGACAACAGAAACTAAACAGCAGCCGGAGTATGGAAAAGCAGGTTGAGGGGTCGCATTGGACATCGCGGAGGGGTCATGCTGAGGGTGACGTCTAAAATCCGTCAGAGTCAAAAGCAAAAGGCTGATCTTCTGCGCATCCTCCTTGCAGCGTGCCAGCCATTATCGGTGGACAATCCATTCAAACAAGGCACCTGGTCAAGCGAGGAAAGCAAGACAGCTGTTCTGCCGTGGGCATACGCCGCTTGCTTGCCTTGCTGTCATTCGGTGCCGAACTAGTATGGAATCAGGTCTCTACTTCCACAGCTGAAACACAGCTTGAGATCTGCGGCATGTGGTGCCTTTGTGCAGGCCGGGGCAGCCGTCTGCTTTGCAGACACTGCCGGATGCAGGCGCACACTCGATCAATAATCATGTCCCCATGGCACGTGCAAGATTAGTAATAATAATAATAATCATAATAATAATAATCATAATAATAATAGTCTTGGGGTCTACTCCTGGCTCCCACAAGCTTCCCATGAACCGTGCTTGCAAGAGCCTGAGGGGTTCGAACGCTTGCTGGTTGCTAGTTGGGCAAGACCAGCTTGCCCGCTTCCTCAGTACCAGCTGGAGGTCCAAACATGACGTACTGCAGGGCCGTGTCATTCACCTGAAACTAATCGCAACATAGCCTTTGCTTCTAGGTTGAGGGATGCTGCTTCCGCAGCACAATGCTTCTCTTAGGCATGCCAAACATACCTGACAGTGCTCCCAACTCAATTCGAAGGACGCAGTGCCGCTGATTTGTTCGCTTGGCGCCATCATCAGGATCGAAGATGTGGCCCAAGTGCCCACTGCACTTTGCCTCAAATCCCAGCACTACCGGAGGACGTACCGGAATGTCTGTGGCATCTTCTTTTTTAAACTGTGAAATATTATGACATACTAGGGTAACTATGAAATCTTATGTGAGCCGGCGTCAAAATTATTTGTTTGTGCTAGGCTCGTTTTGGATTTAGGGCGTCCCCTATCGTTTTACAGTAAATGCAACTTGGCAATATTGTTGCATTTAGAGTGTCGTCTTTAGAGCGTCCCCTATCGTTTTACAAGTCAACGGTAGCATTGGCCATCTTCGACAACCGCCTGCATTACAACCAATATACGATAATTTTGACCTCATC